CCGCCGGGGGGAAAGCTCCCCCCCCCCCCCCCCCCCCCAAAAAAAAATACCTTACAGCCGCTAAGGGTTCCAAACCTTGTGAAAAACATTCCTGCACATCACATTTTTCATATAAATGGCTTGGCTTCCTGCTTAGCAGTGCTGCATGATGATTGCACCTAACGGATTCTTTTATTTCAATGTAAGTCTACCTGACAGGATCTGTCTGATTGAACATAGACCCCATAAATTCAGTGCTCATGGAGCAGTGTTTTTAAATTTTTTTTATTAGTGTTTACTCTAAATAATTATGTCATCTGGCAGTGCCGACCTGTGCCCTCTCTGTTCATTTGAAGTGTGAAATGGAATGACAGGTCCACTTTAGGAAAGCATTCTTGTACCGTGTTGTTACACCTGCAAGGTGGAGACCTGGCAGAGACCACGCTGCCACTCCTGTCTACACAGCATCCTCCAGGGACCAGGCACAATCCATCTCTTTTTATTACGGAAAATGATCACACGTGCCCAGAAGCATTTCTCATTTTTTTTTCCCCTCGCTAAACGCTGCACAAGACAAGAGCGAATGTAACAGGTTGGAAGGAAATCTTGGAGCAGAGGATCCATCACACTGGCCATTCTAGACCTCCGGAGAGTTTGGGGAGAGGCGGTTGACTTCATCTGTTTACCAATCCAGCGTCCAGAGCTGGCACATTGCTCAGCAACTTTACTATGTACATGTAGAGTAAACACATTGAGTAATGAGGCCCAGAACACAACTTTCCTCTAGGATGGATCATGAGACAATACAGCCAGTCTACAAGTCAATGGGCACAGCTACTGTACATGTGACCTGTTCTAGCTGCCAAGATATTTGCTGTTCTGCCCAGCCAGTCTTTTTATCTGCACACTTATAAAACTCCATTATGAAGGGGTGGCCTTGCTATATATTGCTGGACCTCTGACACTTTCTGTTCTTTATGCTTGCTTATGGTCAACAGCATCAGTTTTCAGGAGAAGCTCTACCTTTTATTATTAACATCCTTGCGTTCCAGCCTAGGCGGAGATGATGTCCTCATCCAGCTGAGATTCCTGCCATGCCACAACATACACAAAAAAAATGGAGTCCTTTAGCTCCGGTGAAGGGACTCCACCTTTTATTATTAAAATAGCAGTCCTTTAGTTCCCGTCTGGTGTCTGACTAGACTGGGATTAGGCCATTAGCCTGCTGCAGGCAGGAGGAAGCATGTCCTCAGTCTCCTCTCCCCCAGTGATCAGACTGCAACATTGTAACTTTGTATCAGGGGCGTCCGGGTGACACCCCGCCGGGACGTCATTGCGAATGCGTGGGACGTCACATCTCGCACGCGCGGCCGTCTAATTGACGCCTGCTGGTGGCCATCTTGCTCTAGTGGACGTTGGCAGAGAGAGAAGGGGACGTTCACCCGGCGGGATGAGGTATGCCTCCGGGTCCCCTCCTCTCTCCTGACACTGTTGGGCTCTCGGTCCATGACTGAGTGCCCGGCTTTTTAAAGGGGGTGACACCAAAATGACTGTCAGTCATTTTGGTGTCACCCCTCCAATGGTGTTACCCGAGTGCGGGCCGCACCCCCCTTGTGACGCCACTGCTTTGTAACCAGTCACGGTGGGAGGCTGCAGCACGGGTTTATCGCTGTCAGATGATTGTGAACACAGAAGTGCATAGGGACCAGGATGGACATTATTGTGCCATCTCTGAGCTGGCATCTCAGTCCAGAAGTAGGTGACCCTGAATAATGCCTGAAAAAAGCTGGCGCCATCCTTCTGGAGTTAAAAGCAGAAGTCACGGTAAGTGCTATGATCGCCGTGAAAGGTAATAAATACCTGGAAGTGTTACACTGACATATTACTTGAAAAATTTATCTGATGCCAGGTTCTTTTTAAAATATAAGCACCCAGCTTACAGTTATAGTGAAAAAGTTAAGGCATCACAAACATTAGCTGAGCACTTTTCTTTTTCCATTTGCTTTCTTAACATCCCCACTGGTCTAAGTAACATCACGTGATCTTGTAAGAGCAGTGAAAGTGACACAGACCGTCTCATAAACTTGAGCAGAAGCAGAGGCCGAACACGCGGAGTACTACCGCAGTCTGATTTGAGGATGCTGCCCAGAGATCCGAACTGAATCATTTTATTTTCCTATAAAAGAGAACCTGTCTCCATTCAAATTGTAAGCTTGGGTCGGGCCCTCAATTGCCATGTTTCAGATATTCAGGTCAGCTGCTGTATGCCCCGTTTGTACAGCACCCATGACATGTATTCATCACATTGTTCTATAGTATAGAGAACACTCACCTTCATCTGTTTAACAGTGTAACGCATTGTACCGAAAGGCCCATCGTTCATCAGCTTCTTGCCCACCACTTTGGCTCTGATCACTGAAAGAGAAAAATAATATATATATTTATAATCAACTGCCAAGATAACAATCAACTTTCATCATATTATTAGGAATGATCAGCAGATATGTCAATAAATACAAAAGGGGTCTGTTTGTTAAATCCATAGGCCGGGGCTGGGCGAATGCCATTCATAAAATCATTCCCACCACTAGATGGAGCCGATGAGCATAGGAATGTCTTGTGCTCTTAGTCTCCATCTAGTGGCGGGAATGATGTGTGAATGGCATTCGCCCAGCATATGGAGGAGCAGAAAATTATTAATCGCCTCCAAAGTGCAGCTTCTTTCTTATAGTAGATATTATCCAACGGTTGAACTCGATGGATCCGTGTCTTTATTCAACCTTAACAACAATGTAACTATGTAAACCCCAACTGAAATGGTGTTTTGTTTGCTAAAGTTCTGTGCGTCATATTCAACAGCCATTTATTTTTTAAAGTGCTGCAGAAACTGTTAGCGCTATAGAAATCCTGCATAATACATTTTAATGACACTTTTTTCCCTTTTTATCCATTATTGTGCTTTCCTGCAGCCTCCTAGTGGACACTTCCTGTGATAGTTTCATGGCATTTCTCAAGACAGGTTACCTGATGGTGACAACAGGGAATTTTGCCTGCGTAATGCGTGTTGAAACTAGGGCTGCAACTAACGATTATTTTCATAAATCAATTAGTTGGCCGATTATTTTTTCGATTAATCTGATAAAATAAAAATTAAATACCATCTTTTATTTAAAATAAAATACACAAATTGAGTGGTAAAAACAAGGTTTACGTCAGAATAAAACTGTATGCACATTTGTTTGCAATTGCACTGCACCAGAATGCACAGCATTGTGGTACCGCGTTCCAGTGCGGTCGATCGCACTGCAGACGGGAGGCGTGTTTGGGGTGCTATTAGACCCCTAGTGTCACTTTTCAACGTCAATAGCTTTAGCTAGGAAAATGACAGCTGTAAACACAGCAGGCAGTAGGCTGGTGCAATAGCCACCCTGCTTTTAGCTGTTTTAAATTGCAATAGCCAATAAAAGGCTGGCTATTGCACCCGCCTACTGCCAATCAGCAGAGGAGGGAACTGAAGGAGAAAGTGCTCCCAGCTGCTGGATGGGTACTTTAAAAGGCATCAAATTATAATGAATGTGCTGCGCTTCATCTAGAACAATACATAAACAAATCTCTATAATAAATATGTGCTTAAATAATACATGCAATCAAAAAAAAGTGTTAACAATGAATCTTCAGATCAAACAGGACCTGATGAAGTCAATTGTGACGTAACGTAGCACAGCTCCTGTTTGATCTGTCTTTGCACCCAGAGAACACGGTGACACAGAGAGAGAGTTGTCAAGCATACATTTTATTTTTATTTTTATGTCTACTTTCCTCATGTGAGTAGTTTTTTTTAAATAAAAGGAGGTTTTTAATTTTGCGGTTTTACGCTATGGGCTGTGTTTATATTTTATTGGATATGGTCGTGATGACACGCTGACGTCATTTTCTGTGCATGACCTTTGAATAAGATCGATTTGGAGACCCATTAAAGCGATTCTAGACCTGTTCAGGTCCATTTATAAAGGTGAGCGGCCCACTGAGAGGGGGAGCACCTGGGTGATAATTGGAGTTGACGTATGGACTTTGTACAAAGAACTTTCACAGGGAAGGATAAAGAGTGTGGTGCACAAATCCTGAGCACTATATACGTGTGATTCCACATTTGTGTATATTCGCACACGGAATATATGATTTAACTTTCCAGAGGATTATTATTTACAAGGAGATTCATTAACACTTTTTTGATTGCATGTATTATTTAAGCACATATTTATTATAGAGATTTGTTTATGTACTGTTCTATGTATTGTTCTACATTCATTATAATGTGATATATTCAGAGGGTAACACTTCTTCTAGTGCTTGCAGCTACACAGGGTTTTGCGCGAGGTGCTATTTATCACTTTAAAAGGCATGTTGTTCCTCACTCCACCTTGATGGTATGAATTTCCACTACCTTCTCTAGCTCCCCCCTCTCCCTAAATGGCTGCCATTCTTTACTGCATGTTTGTAACAGGTTTACTTTTATAAAAATCAGCATTGGCTTGGCTCAGACAACGCCTCTACTCTTCACAAGCGCTTGATATCCAGTAAACATTCACTTGTTTCATATTCTCAAGATGTTCCTTTTTTATTTGTCATTTACCCCACCCATAATGTCCTTATAGTAAGAAGACGCTTTACAACCATCGCAGTCAGTTTCTGTTTTGCAAACGGTCTGCCAAATCCCGAATGTTCCATAACAATTCACAAGGTGGACGGGGGTTCTCTTCCTAGCTGGCAGCACGGCGTCTCTCGGGCCATACTGGGTGCATTGTTTCAGAGCTTCATCACAGCACAGGCACCAGCCAAGGATGGGTTAACTGTGTGGTCGGAAGGTTTATCCACCCCATGAGAAAATGAGAACAGGGTAGTGATCAGCGGCAGCTTGCGATAAACCGCTAACCGCTGCCTGCGAGAGCCAAACCATGAAAAATAAAGTGTCACGGAGTGAAAGAGCAGCGCAGTCCTTCAGCAATCACACGAGGAACAAGAAGCCTTCAAGAAGTTATTAAGAATCTCAGATCTGATCCTTAAATTGTCCTCCCTTGCATTCCTGAAGATGGCATTTTACTGCTCGCTGAAACCGAAGGCGAAGTGCACACATGGGCGTCTTTTTATTCTTCACTTGAACGCCCAAAAAGTATCACTTTAAAGTGATATGAGTCAAAAGTTTGAGCCATTTCAGATGCTGAAGACTAGAGAAGATCTTAATAAGTGTTATTTTAAAACCTTCTGAAGGCTGTGCGGGAATACTTCAGGCATGGCAGCTTTGCAAGATTAAATGGGGACACGCTTGCCAAAAATGTTACTTTAAATAGCTGGATCATCCAGAAGGAAAACTAAACAGCACCCTGGAGCCTGGTGGGTGTCAAGGGGGCCCAATTACAACTGTTATGCTCCTGCAGCCAATCAGGAGATTAACTCAACCTGTCAAAACTTGGTACCTGCTTGTCACATCACAAAGGAGGGTGGACTTGTAGGCATTCGGCTGTCTGATGGGGCCAGTATAGACAATACAAATGGAAAGGGGGGGGGGGGGGTTCTGTGCCCATCACAATCCTGTCAATGTCAGTTGAAGGGATGGAGGAGTCAAAGCTGCTTCTCCTCCTAGGGTCCAATTCTGCCTCAAATAATTTCTGATTAGAGGGGACCGTTCTCTTTAAGAAAGTCATGTACGCTGCAAGGAATATCTCAGGGGTATCCAAACTTTGGCCCTCCAGCTTTGGCGAAATTACAAATCCCATTATGCATCTGCCTCTGGGGGTCATGCCTGTCAGACTCTTTCAAGACCTCAAGGTATTTGTAGGTGTCACCACAGCTCGAGGGCCAATATTTGATTAATTTGTTGCCTGCAATGTGCTCTAAGGCTGGGCAGCCAAATCCATGAACGACTAAGGATATCCAGCCAACACTGCATTCATGATAAAGTCAGAAACCGACTCAATTGACTTTCATTGACTATGCAATCCACCGCAGTCACATTTCAGAGAGCTTCTCAAATTTTTTATGGGTGAGCCAGCTTGTGCTTCTTTAACTTCTTGCTCAATGCATCACCAGGCAGATTCAGACTCTGAAAGCGGGTGAAACTTGATCGGTGGTTGTTAAAAAAACTTTCCGATGGGGCAGTAACTAGCCTGCGGTGGGCGTGTTCAGGAATTCCTCTGCTGCATTACTGCCAGGGATTCCCAGTCCGCCAGATATGACAAATGGGAGAATGGGGGATTGCAGCCCTACAACATGCCTGCATAGGATACTGAAACCCCGCTTAGTTTAAATGCATTTTAGGGCCTAATTTCCAATTCTGACTGGAGCGTACCTTTAAAGTATACAAAATGCAAACCAAGAGCAAAAAAGTAGAATATTAGAAATCTGGAAGCCACAAAATGACCGCAGACTGTTTCAGGGATGAGAAGGATGTTTGTGGAGCTGAAGTGAATCAGGTACAGCAGGTGTAACCACACTGAGTCAGCTGCAAAAATACCCAAGAGCTGGGCTGGTAAGGAGAAGGATGGTAGATGAGGCCGCGCACAGATTTAGGCCGGCCCTTCCGTAACACATGGACAAATATTGGTTTAGCTAAAGCATTTAGCCTCTGTCAAAGCATCTACTGTAAGGCCAGTTCATGTCAGCTTCCTTGCATACTTCCCTGTGGGGGGGTTGTTAGTGTTTTGTTGAACCATTGGAAAGGAATGATTTACATAAATAATTCATGTCTGGGCAAAATAATAATAAAAAACAAATTTTTAAAAGTAAAGAAGTAAAAAATAAAATATATCAATAATAATAATGAAAATATCTAATATATTTATTTCTAATCCTGTTCTAAAATCATAACTAGACTTCAGAACTACGCCTATCCCCACCTCTCTCTGTCCCTCTTCTTATCCATACATTTAATTATTTTTCCTGTAAAGCAGTGCTGTTAGTCTTGGACTCCCAAGAGCCTGCCCTTACAATGTATGTACGAAAAAGGGTTCTTGGGAGATGTAGTTTTGGAGGCATACTTGCATTTAAAAGAACTGAGCTTGCAGAAGTTTCTGTGGTGTACACGTCAGGTGCATATACTGGTCCATTGGCAAGCTATTCAAACAAAAAGACTGCCTTAACGCAACACCCAATCACAACATAACGCACATAGGTTACGGCACCAAAAAGGTCTGAATGTATGGAAATTAGGTTCCTGCCTGGATGTTCCCCACGCCTTCTGTTCAGTAAATGTGGTGGAATCCCTCAGGCCCATTTTCAGACATGTCAGTTCTCAAAAATGATCTTCAAACCATTTATGGCAAAAGTAATGATTCGGCTCCCTCTGGACATCTCCTCGGCTAATCTCGTCTTACTTATGTAACTGTTCTAAAGCCAAGTCAGGTTATAAAAATAAACAT